TTTTTGTTTCAACAAGTGCTCCCACCACCATTTTACCATTGCAACCATCCACGCCATCACCAACAACAACTCGTCCTTCTTTCTTGATTTTCATCCATTCTTCTTCTCCAGTACACCACCTAATTTTTTCCATTAAATTGGTTGTCACCATCCACAAGTCTACCATCGTTAAATTACCTTAGTCTTTCAAATGACCAATTACACATTCAAATCTGGCAGCAGGTTTTTCGTCGGGGAAAATGGTATCGCCGCTGCCACCATACATATATCTCCCTTCTTCATCTCTTTTGTCAAATCGAACCCAAACACAAATTAAATATAAATCTAAAAAGACAAAAGAAATGCAAAAAAAAAAATGGGAAGAAGATGAAGTGGGATGCATTTTCTTTGACATGGAATGTTAAGCAGAGGTCATGACACAAAGACACAAAAAAATTAAAATAACAAGTAACTAGTGATGGATCGTCTCTTCACTTTGGTGTTCATTATTTCCGGCAAGACTAATATGGATTTGAAATTATTGATGTATTCAAATTCTAAAGAACTCACAACACAAGAAGAAGAAAAATGTTAATAAATATATATAAATTGATGTTTTGAGGAAAAGAGTTAGATTTGAGGGAAATGGCAACAGTGTGTGTGGTGTTTTGGTGGGGATAGGGTTGTGGCAAAAGAAGAAAAAGAGAAGGAGGGGGATAAATTTTCCTTTTAATGTATTTTTTAATTTTTATTCTAGCTCAATGTCACATGTCTTCTATTGATTAGTCACTATGTCACGTCATTCGCGAGTGTATATCCACATTCTCATTTTAGCTAATTGTCTAAAAAGTGTTCGGTAGGTAAAAAAATTAATTAGTCCGGGTGTTCAATTAGAACAAGCCTAAGATGAGGTGTCTAAGTGAAATATGCAGACAACTTTAAGTGGTTATCAATGACTTAAGCCATTTTTTAAAATAAAAGAGAGAGTGTAATAAAAGAGAGATGTGTGTTTCTCAAACTAATAAATGATAGTTTAAGTATGAATTTCACACTCTCAATAGTTTAGGTATGAAATTTAAAAAAATAAAAAATTTAGATGTGTTTTTGACCCTTATCTCTAAAATAACTCACCTTTTGTGTATTCTTAACTGACAATTCTAAAGACTTCTTTTCTTTATTTAAAATAAGACTCTTAATAAATTTTAGTTTGTTTTGTCAGAAACATTTAACTACATTGGTGTGATTAAATTTTGAGATTAACTTCTATCCAAGAAAAATTACACTGTCAGTTTATCTTTAGAAATAATTGAGAGAAATAAGTATTTCTAAAAATGAACCGACCATGTAATTTTCTTGTCCACTATGAGTGGATAGAAGTTAATGTCTTAAATTTTTTAGGTAAAAGTTGTAGCAAGAAATAACAAAGAATAAGTCAACTAGAAAAAAAGGAAATGTCATGTTTTTTCCAACGAAAATTGAATGATTATAAAAAGTTTATGTAAACATTCCATTAGCTATCCGTATTATGGTGCTAAAATGGAGGATGGTTGTTCAAATCAGTGAAGAGGAAGAAGACATAAGGGAGAAAAATTGCAAGTTTAACCGGAAGATCAAGATCGAGAAGAAGAAAGAGTTGTACATACGTCACTCACCCTCTTTGCCTTCTTCTCGATTCCTGTTTCTTTCGATTTGAAAAGGATAATCATTTTTGTAATTTCTAACAATAATATCAGTTGTGTGGCAGATCATCTAAGGTGTGTGTTTTTGCAATGCAAAAGATGTGTATACTCATCATACCTTAAAATGCTTGTTCAATATCATTCATGTGTTTGTTTGTTTTTTTTGCATCATTCAGGCTATAACTTCATGGCACCAAGCAAACTTAGAAAAGCAATTGGGGCTGTGAAGGACCAAACAAGCATAAGTCTAGCAAAGGTAGGAGGAAGCAATTGTTTGTCCGACCTAGAAGTTGCGATTGTTAAGGCTACTAGACACCAAGAGTACCCGCCTGAGGAGAGGCACATTCGAGAGATTCTAAGCTTGACTGCTTATTCTCGAGCCAATATTGGTGCTTGTGTTGATAACATTTCAAGACGTCTTGGCAAGACAAAGAATTGGGTTGTGGCGCTCAAGTCAATAATGTTGATCCATAGATTGCTATCCGATGGCGATCCCTCCTATGAGCAGGAAATTTTCTTTGCCACAAGACAAGGAACAAGGCTTCTTAACATGTCTGAGTTTCGAGATACCAGATCTAATTCATGGGACTATTCTTCACTTGTTCGTACCTATTCTTTGTACCTTGATGAACAACTTGAGTATAGGATGCAGAGTCGGCGTGGAAAGCGCAGTGCCTACGCCTATGATGAAGAGTTAGACAATGTTGAACCTGAAACTGTCGTGGTGAAACAACCCACTCCGTTGAGCGAAATGAAGAATGAGCACATTTTCTCAAGGATGCAATATCTCGTCCAACTTCTTGACCGATTTTTAGCTTGTAAACCCGCAGGTTTGCATTCTATTTTAATATTTTAAACTATTTAGTGAAGTATATTTAAAAGATTCTAATTTTTGTTTTGTCATTTTATAAGAGCAGGTTTGGCAAGGACCAACAGAACTGTATTTGTGGCTCTATATCCACTTGTGAATGAGAGTTTCCAGATATATTATCAAATAACAGAAATAATAACTATCTTGATTGATAAGTTCCAAGAACTATCAATTCCCGAATCTGTCAAGGTTCACGAGATCTTCTGTCGTATTAACAAACAATATGTTGATCTTGAACAGTTCTACAATTGGTGTAAAACAGTTGGAATTGGACGATCTTCTGAATATCCAGATATTGAGAACATTCCACAAAAGAAACTTGACCTTATCGATGATTTTATACGGGAGAAGTCCATATTGGGACAGAATGGAAATGCAATGCGTTATGAACCTAAAAGTGAGCTGGTTGAAAAAACTCAAGAGCCAGAGCCAGAACCAGAACCAGAACAGGCGATGAATGAAATAAAGGCATTACCACCACCAGAGGGAATTCCTGAAGAAATAAAGGAGGAGAAACACGAAGAAGAAAATAAAGAGGTGGTGAAAACCCAAGACGTAGCTGACTTTTTGAACTTGGGTGAAAATTCATTAACTATGGAAGAACATGGAGATCAATTGGCTGTAGCACTCTTTGATGGTGGTGGTCCAACAACTGATGGTCCTTCAACAACTACTTCACCGTGGGAAGCGTTCAACAATTCAGGGGATTGGGAAACAGCACTTGTTCAGCACACGAGCCATTTGTCAAACCAGAAGGCTTCCCTTCCTGGAGGTTTCAACACATTAATGCTAGATGGAATGTATCAACAAGGAGCAGTAGCTCAAGTGGTAGCCAGCTCAGGTGTTGTAGCTACTGGAAGTGCTAGCAGTGTCGCGCTTGGATCAGCTGGTCGGCCATCAATGCTAGCCTTGCCTGCACCTCCATCAGCAGACGGCGAAGCTCAAAGTATAGCCGGTACAACCACTGATCCTTTTGCAGCATCACTAGCAATAGCTCCACCATCATATGTTCAAATGTCAGAAATGGAAAAGAAGCAGAGACTATTAGTAGATGAGCAAGTAATGTGGCAACAATATCAAAAGGATGGAATGCAAGGACAAGTAGGATTAGCAAGGACGACACAATCAAACCCTTATGCATACAACACAGGAGGTTTACACACAAACCTTCTAGCTAGAGGTTCCCTAAATTAATTAGAACGTCTCCGTAAGAAAATTGTAAGGAGCAAAAGAGGCCTGGCGAAAACTATTATTTAATCAAGTCTCTTATTTGGCAGCTCCACGAATTAGGGAATTTAGCTACAATTTTGTTTAAATATGTCACTACGTGTTAGAGAAGATTCATATCAGAGTACAGAATGTAATAAATTCCAATTTTGGTTTTCCTCTTTTTCCTTTCTACAGTTAGCTCTGAAGAGATTATTCAAGCATCATATATAAATGACAAGTAAAAGCTTATCACTAACGGCAATTGTAGTGGTCAGTAAATTTGAAAGGTACAAGTGACCAACTTTAAGCACTCCTAATACAAATCTGTTTAAATAAGAACTACTGATAATCCAACAACTTTAGGTCATTTTTTTACTTCACTACTGGACAAATCTGAATCTGGAGATGGAGATCAGATGAATGTGGAACTCAAGGAAGAAGGAAGAAGAACAGAGAGAATCTATTTGGGAATTTTCATCTGTAGTGAATTGATCAGTACAAGCTACTTATGAGTATATATATACACTGTATATTGTATTAACTGAATTGACAGTTGGCCTAACTAACTTCACAGCTCACTACTTCACTAACTAACTTTACTAGCATTAACTAACTAACTCAGTAATTAACATTTAAGCTAACTTGTGCTACTCCATGTCTATGTCACTCCTGAAGTTTCAATACTTCCCCTCAAACTAGGTCCCATGAAGACATTCAGGACTCCTAGTTTGGACAATAAGTATTCATGTCGTGTCCTTCTCAATGCCTTAGTTAATAAGTCTACCAGTTGATCATGTGATGGAATATAAACAGTCTTGATCAAACCTTGCTGAATTTTCTCCCTTATGAAGTGGCAATCTATCTCGATATGCTTAATCCTCTCATGATACTGGGTTTGCAGCTATTTGTATAGCAGCCATGCTATCACAATATATTGATATTGGACCTTCAATCTTGATTTCCAACTCTTTAGCCAGATTACTCACCCACTACTTCAGATGTCAACCCTACTAGGCTTCTATAGTCAGCCTCATTTGAGCTCCTTGATATTGTTGCATGTTTCTTGGATTTCCAAGCAATGAGAGAGTTTCCTAGACTCAGAATGTATGACCCTCTGGTATTTGGGAATGCAACCAATCTGCATCACAATATCGTGTCAGCCTCGTGTCTTTCTCTGATGACATTAGCAGTCCAAGCCCTGGTTGAGTCTTAATGTATCTCAAGACTCTTAATGTTGTATTCCAATGCTGCATTGTGGGCTTCTACATAAATTGGCTCAATGTATGCACTGTGTAGGCAATATCAGTCCTAGAGATTGTCAAGTAAAGTAATTTCCCAATCATCCTCTGATATTGTTGTACATCTTCAACTAGATCAACCAGTTTAGTTGCTTTACCATCAACTTGCTCAGCTACAGTCAACTTCATGTTGCACTCCAAAGGAGTTAAAGCTACTTTTCCTCTTGTCAAGCCAGCTTCAACTAATAGTTCTAGAGCATACTTTCTCTGATTCATTAGGATTCCCTTTTTTAATCTACTGAATTCAGTTCCCAAGAAGAATTTCAGTTCTCCTAAATCCTTAATTTTGAAGGATTAGTTTCCCTTATCAATTGTGTGTCATTCCCATTTATTAGCAAATCATCCACATAGACTAGTATTACTACCATCTTGTTTCCCTGCTTCTTTGTGAATAAGGAATTGTCCGGATGACTTTGCTGGTATCGTGATCTCACTAATGCTTATGTCACTTTGAAGTTCCATTGTCTAGGGCTTGTTTGAGTCCATACAAGGATTTGACAAGCTTACAGACCATAGGTGTCTCCCCCTGAACTTTCAAACCTTTAGGAATCTCTATAAAGACATCCTCCAATAAGTCTCCCTGCAAGAAGGCATTATAGACATTCATTTGAAATAAGGGCCAGCTCTCAGCAACATCTAATGCAATAACCATTCTAATTGTCACCATTTTCACAACTAGTGAAAAGGTTTCTTGATAATCAATCTCAACAGTCTGATTGTAGCCCTTAGCTACAAGCCTTGCGTTATACCTCTCCACAGTACCATCAGACTTGTACTTGATTTTACAAACCCATTTGCACCCAATAACTGACTGACTATGAGGCAAAGGAATCAAATTCCAAGTCCCATTATCCTTCAAAACATGTAGCTCTTGATTCATAGCATGAACCCATCTAGAGTCTGTTATAGCTTCTTCATATGTGGATGGTTCCACATTAGTGGAAATGTTGGCTATATATGCTTGATGTGATGGAGAAATGTGTTGATAGGAAACATAACTTCCCATAGGGTGAGAGACCTGTTTGGCAACCTTAGGACCAGTTTGATAGTCTTGATTCTATGTAGGTGGTGCAGTAGCCCTTGTTGATCTTCTAGGAGTAGGAGTGGCAACAGGTAATTCAGGAACTACCTCCAAAGTGTGTTGATCATCATCTACATCTGCAGTTGGTGCATGGTCTAGGCAGCTCATCAATAATGGATGTATTTACTACAGTGTCTATAGCACCATCATCTCGAAGTAAGTCACTACCACTAATATTGGAGTCTACATGTGTTCCAAGACAAACTAAGGATTCTCATCCAAGTGGATTGGTATAACAAACAAGGAAGTAGTAGCAGGTAGGCCCTGGGAAGGACCAATTTTGAATGGAAACACATTCTCATGAAAAACTACATCTCTACTTACCAATATCTTATTGTCATGTAAGTAAAAAAGGATATAACCCTTTTGAGTGGCAGAATATCCCAATAAGGCACAAGCAATAACCCTAGGTGAGAATTTGTCAATTTTGACAACCTTAGTTGCATAGCAAAGACAACCAAGCACTCTTAGATGATCAAAGGAAGCCTTGTGTTTGTGAAACAATTCATATGTAGATTTACCCTTAAGCACTGGTGTGAGTAATCTATTAATCAAGTACACTGTAGTCAAGACACGTTCACTCCAAAACCTAATAGGTATACTTCCTTGGAATCAAAGGGATCTAACTACCTCTAATATATGTATCTGCTTCCTCTCCACAACTTTATTTTGTTGTGGAGTGTGAGGACAACTGCTTTGATGGATAGTCCTTGAGTTTTCAAATAGAGCACTGTATTTTTTAATAAAAAATTCACTACCATTGTCAAATCTAAAAATCTTCACATGGATGTCAAACTGTGTTTTTATCATTGATGTGAAATTCTTTAATGCAGTGATAACATTTGATTTCAATCCGAAAAAATACAACCAGGTCATCCTGCTGTAATCATCAACTAAAGTAAAAAATATATCTAAAACCGTTGTGTGTAGCTATTTTATAAGGCCCTCAAACATCTAAATTGTAACACCCCAGAATTTTTTTTGAACTAAGTGTAATGACCCGAAAGGTCATTTTTGAAAATTAGGATTATTCATTTAACTTGAGTTAATTAATTGATGGGTAATTGTAGATAATTGACAGTTAATGGGCTAAAAATTGTCATTTATTTAAAACCCTATGCCATTAGCCCCATGTATTAGTGTAATGACCCGAAAGGTCATTTTTGGAAATTTGGATTATTCATTTAACTTGAGTTAATTAATTGATGGGTAATTGTAGATAATTGACAGTTAATGGGCTAAAAATTGTCATTTATTTAAAACCCTATGCCATTAGCCCCATGTATTAGAAATAAGTTACTAGGGTTTATCAGTTTTAATACATAATTATTTTTGAAAAAAAAAAAGAAAAACTAGGTCGAGATGCTTTACATGTTAGCACCATTGGCACGAGATCTACCACCAGGTAATATAGCCCCTTTAAGCTTCAACCTTTAATATGTATTATACATATACTTTCAATAACGGTTGCCGTATATACTAAATGGATGAAGGAAGAAAAAAATCAATTTGTTGAAGACTAGTGTTATTGGACAATAATGGGAATAATGACGGTGTAATTATGAGCATATGATTAGGGATTTAGTGATATAATAAAGCAGCTATGAATTAAAGTTAAGGGGAACAAGTTTGAGGAAACAAAATATTATTAAGACTTTACGGAAATTCTCTTCTCTGTTGATATATTTTTATACCCATTTCTTTTATGCTTAATTGTTGTTTCCTTAATTATGGCTTAGCCTCTAAAATAAAGAGAATTTAGTGTCTGATTCTGCTTGATCTAGGTGAATGTGGAGTAGCTGAGTTATATGTTATTACTCTTAAATTATAATACGCAAATTCATAGAAAGAGATTTTTATAAAGTTTAAGTTACAATGCCAGTTCATTAAAGGCTTGGTTAATTAGTGTGTAGAAAAAACTTAAAACTTATTTAGACTCTACATATATACGGGTCAACTGATTTTAATAAAATCCCAGGTTTGCCTTTATGGGTTTAGATTTATAGATTAGGTACGAGTTTTTAGGTCTAGGCTAGATTTGTAGTGCTATAGATGTTGTTAGTTTTGAAACCTTATTATGATCCTTTATTTGAATAGATTGCTTTCAGTTGGAAGTTCAACGAAAGGAGAAGACTCAAGTCTCGGAGTGAATTCTTTATTGATTGAGGCAAGTGGATTTATAAACTCTTGTTAAGTGTATGAAATTCGTGTATTTTCTTGTAATATGTGTTTGGGGGTAACGAAACTTGGCGATGGGTTGACTTGTCCACATTGATTAATTCTAATGATGAAAAAGGGGTAATAAAAGAAAATGTGATTAATTGTTTGTGTGTGATGTGTTGAGAATGGTTTGAAAGGCTTGTTGAGTCATTGTTGATGTTGTATCATGATTGTGTTGTTGTGAATTGTGCAATGTTATGAAAATGGTCATCTCTTCATTATTTGTGTGAGCATGTCATTTGCATTGTTCTGAGACATGGTTGTGACAAGTGTTATGTGAATTGAGAAAACATAAGAAATTAAAGAGGATGTACCATTTCGAGGGACGTATCGCGCGCCGCGATGGATACTATATTTCGAGGGACGTATCGCGCGCCGCGTTGTTTACTATTATCGAGGGTCGTATCGCACGCCGCGATAGATGCATGGACATATATGTTCCCCATAGGTCCCGGACTGAGAGACAACGGGTGTGTATCACTAGGTCAGACATGTATCACTATACTTGACATTGCATTCCATTGCATTGCACATATTTATCATTAGTAAACTTGATATTGTGTTTTGTTGATCTTGTGAGTGCCTTTCTGTGGAACTTTGATTGATGAATATTGAGCTTGTTGTTAAGGATATGTAATTGTTAGAGTGTTGTTGTTGAGCTGTGTGCTATGTGAATTATGAACTGTTAGGTTGGCTGGTTTTATACAGGTTGTAGTTGTGGAGGTTGTAATTGATGAATATTGAGCTTGTTGTTGAGAATATGTGATTGTTAGAATGTTGTTGTTGAGATATGTGCTTGTGAATTGTGAACTGTTAGGTTAGGCTGATTTTATGCAGTTTATAGTTGTGGAGGTTCGGTTGGTGTGTAAGGAGTACCCGTATTCTATCCCCTTAGCTTGTGTTTAGAGGTTTACTTGCTGAGTACCGTGTGATTTGGTACTCATCCCTTGCTACTACATTTTTTTTGTAGGTTACTAGCCCGGATCTTTGTGATATATTCTCTTCTTTTCAGAGGCTTCTTAGAGATTTGTGAGGTAGCTGTTTGTCATCTCAGCAGACCTTCTTACTCCTATTTATGATCTTGTCCTATTCTAGAAACAAGGTCATTTGAGACTTGTATTTTCTTTTGAATCAATTGTAATACTTTAGAGGTTTGTACACGTGACAGCCAGATTTTGGGGATATTTTTGAGTTGATTATGAAATTTCCGCATTTTATTGTAATGGTTGAGTTTTAGGCTGACTTGTCTTGGTGGGATAAGACGAGTGCCATCACATCCATTTTTGGGTCGTGACACTAAGACTCGAACCATCCTCCGTAGTGAGTTACTTTTTACCAAGGAATTTAAATTTTCCTAAGCGTTAAGGTCACTAGATGTAGCACCTTGAGTTCCAAGAAGAACGAAAGAGAAAAGCATTCAAGTCATTCTTGGTTCTTCTTAAGTTTTGGGTCAACTTAAAACGAACATAACTCCTAGTAAATGATGAGTTAGGTTAGCTACAAGATGGAAAATTAAATCCCTTCGAGTACTCTTTCCAATGCCACCGAGTTTGCTAAATTTCTAGCTCTGAGTGAAAAGTTGTGACTGATTTGCTAACGACGCACAAAACTTGCAGCAGCTCCGCGTTACGGAGCCAATACGGACCTCACTGCCTGGTGAAAAATTATTCCGACGCCCAGCTCATTTTATTTATTTCTTTAAGGGTATTTTGGTCCTAAAAACCCTTAGGAAGTCATCTAAATTACCCTAAACGTTTAGAAAATCAGTTTTTAATAAATCAAACCCTCTCATCCACTCCAAATATTCTACGCTTAGGGAATTCAAGAAACGCTAAGGCTAGGGTTCGTCTTTCAAGATTTTCCTTCAAGTTGCTTCAAGAAGATGGTTCTTTTAGGTATGTAAGCTTCCATAGTGTTGGATTTGTTCACCCACACACCAGTCATATTTATTTCAGCGAAATTCGTTCTAGAATGTTGAAAGTTTGATGATCTTGAATTGTGTTCTTGAAATTGGTTGTCATTCTTGAGTTAGGATGGGATTGTTGAGTTCTTGAGGAAATCGTGTCGATTGTAGAGTCATTTATGAGTAGATTCTTGTTTACATAGGTTGGGTATCTGAATCTAAGGAGAAGTTGAGTAAAAGAATTGAATTTAGGCGAATTGGGGTTAGTAAACGAAAAAGGAAAAAGTCAGGCGAATCTGGCACCTTGCTCCGCATCGCGGACATGCCTTCCCCTTTCACAGAAATTTTCTTCACGTCGCGGAGAGGTCACGGACCTCTCTGCCTCAAAAGTTAATTCGCGACTAAATATTTATGCATCTCCGCGTCGCGGACTTGCTTCCAAACAGTGATTTCTTGATCGTTTCTCATGTTTAACTATCTAAAAACACCCTAAACATCCCAATATCTTTCCTATCACAAATCACAACCTTGAATTCATAAATCAAATTCAAGTTAGAGTTAAGTTTTTGAGAATTCTTTCAAACATTCTAAGGAAGTCCATTTGAGTCTTTTTGAGGAGTCTTTTACAATTTCTAATGACTTGTTTCAAGACTCGAGCAAGTGAGTATGAGAAATTGGAGAATGTATTCATGAGTTTATTTTATCATCACGAGATCATTCATATCATGAATCATAACTCTTGAATTCATAATTCACATTCAAGAGAGAGTTAAGAGTACAGTTCAAGAAAGTCTTTGAGTTT